GCCAAGGGAATAGCTTTTTCTTGGTGAAGATACCTAATAATGAAATTGATGGCAACTATCTGTGTGTCAAATGGATACAGTGATGAGCTACCTCAAAATGTGATTTGATTCCAATCAGTTGCATGACAACTGTGTGAGTATCATCTGACAGATCCTTATGTAGAGGTCTGACTTGGGAAGGAAACACTTTTGTTCCTTTCGTTTTCCTAATTTGCAGCCTCTGGATGTGCCCCATTAAAATCAGTGTCTGAGATACACAATATTTAAATAGTGTGATAGAATAGAATAGAGTTAGAATCCTTTATTGCCCAGGTGTGATTGGACACACAAAGTATTTGTCTTTGGTGCATAAGCTCTCATTGCACATAAAAGCTATAAGTGATAAATCATGATCATAGTCATCATAAAAATACATTCGTCATAAATCATAAGACGCAAACACTTAGTGATAGTCATAGGGTACTAAATAAGCAATCAACATAAATCATACTAGGAAACCAAGTAAAACAACATAAATCGTAAAGATACAAGCAACAAAGTTATAGTCATAAGTGGAAATGGAGATAGGTAACAGGAAGGATGAAAAGAATAATATTAATACAGTCTTACTAAATAGTTTGACAGTGTTGTGAGAATTAGTTGTTTAGTAGAGTGATGGCATGGGGAAAAACTGTCCTTGTATCTAATAGTTGTTCTGGTGTGCAGTCTCTATAACGTCGTTTTGAGGGTAGAAGTTGAAACAATTTATGTCCAGGATGTGATGGGGTCTGTAGATATTTTTTATAGCTTTTGCAGATTAATTTTCTCATACCAAAGAAAATGGAGGCAAAATACCATTCCCAGGTTTCCCATGTCACGAGCCAACTCTGTTCACTGCTAAAAAGACAAGTCGATATTGAGTTGTGGAACGATACCTACCCAAGTAGATATGTTTAATTTATGACTATAGTCCTCCACTTAATGAGGACAACTGAGCCCCAAATTTCTAAACAAGGGGGTTGTTAAGTGAATCACCACAGTTATTAAGTGAATCTTGCAGTCATTAAGTGAATCTATATTCCCCCATTGACTTTGCTGGTCAGAATTTGGCTGGAAAGCTTACAAATAGTGACCATGTCATCCCAGGATGGTGTAGCCATCATAAATACTTGTCAATTGCTAACACCTGCATTTTAGTCACATGGCGATGGGGATGCTACAATAGTCGTAAGTGGGGAAACCAGTCATAAGTCCTCTTTTTCCCCACTGCCATTGCAACTTCGGACTGCCATTAAGTGAATGGTTGTAAGTTGAGGCCTACCTGTAGTAGGAAATTGGGAGAACCAGGTTGGTATGTGGTGGTTACGGTTAGAAACCAGGAGACCACAAGTTCTAGTCCTGCCTTTGAGCCCAAAGCCTGTGGGTAACTATGAGCCAATCCCTTTCTCTCATCCCTAGGAAGCATGTGTCCTGACCTAGGCTTCCCCAAAAAGCCCGAGGCAGATTCCTGGTCCCGACAAAACCCCTTTTATGAAACGAATGTGAATTCCTCTCATTCACATTCAGCAAAGGCCTGGCAAACGGTCTTTCAAAGGAATATTTATGACTACAGACCTTATCTGTCTTGGAAAGCAGCCATGTAAATATTTTCCAAACGAAGTGCTATGCAAGGAAAAACTGGGCACAGAGTCTCTGAGATTCACGGACAGATCTTCACACTCCTGAAACGAATCTTAACAACCAAACTAAGAATTGTTTCCTGAATTGTTTCACTCTTTTATTTCCGATGGGAGGGGCCATTCACCATTCACCTGCGGCTTTACGACCCTGATTTCTCAGCTGTTCTTTTCTTCTGGCAGTTCTGCACATGCACACACTGGGAACAGGCTCCAGCTGTTCCTCTGCCTCACTGCTGTCTAGCTCCGTAGGCTCCTGATCACTGCCCAGACGGCCTTGGCCCCATCTCTGCCACCTACGCAGAGCCCTTGTCCGAGCCTTCCCCAGCCTCCAGGACTGGCCCATGCTCCTCACCAACCTCCTCACTGTCCAACTCTGTTGCCAGCTCTGCCACAACAGCAGGGAATGGCAAATCGTTTCTGAAAAAAACTTGCCAAGAACACCTTGTGGAGATATTTCCAGGCAGTCTCCTAGGGTTGAACTTAATTGGATGGGAATAAAAAAATAATACCAATAAATAAGAAATTATTTCTACCTTCAGCCCCAATCTGTATGGCAGTCAGGAGAACACTTGCCTAAATACATAATTTTCTCTCCTCTTTCTGCTGACGTGGGTCTTTATAAACTAGTTTTTAATTTTTCCTGTTTATTACTACTTTGCTGGCTGTGGTATATTTTAGAGAGTTTGGATAGGAGCACGGGGGCTGATAAGTAGTGCTGAAAGTGTGTGTATTTAAGATAAAGTTACTTTGTCCTTTGAAAAAATGTTAACCCTCAAAATAGTAAGTTGTTCAAGAAGGTGAGCCCATATCTCTGGCAGAAAATTATTCTGTCCTCTATCAGAAGACCAGACGGATTTTCAAGACGTTTCTGCTTTTCTTTGACAAATACAATTTTCAGAAGATTTTGTTTATACAAGTATTAAACAGAAAAGTACCCTCCGCACAGGCCCTACATTGGGAAACATTGTCATGGCGTTGGAAAAATTCTGTTTAAAATAAAAAGATAAGCTGCAGCCAGTCCCACGTTAGAATTATCACTCATGGAAATGAATTTATTGTAGACAGAATAAAAGATACAGGCATGTGTGTATAGGTTTCTGAGTTTATACGTAGAAAAATTGTCTGGGAGATAACCACTTGCCAGCGATCCAGTTTTGAGTTTTCTCTACCGCTGCCTTAAAAAAAACTAGGAAACTGGAGGTTATTTTTACAATACTCCTTGAAAGTCCAAATAGGAAGAATTACTGGACAAAAAAACATACATGGCTAGGAAAAATGTTGAAGCAGCATATAGGTTATAAGCCAGGTACGATAAAGGGAACATATCAGAAGTGGCATTCAGCCGGTTCGGACCGGTTCATCTGAACCGGTAGTAGAAATTGTGGGTGGGCCCGCCCCGGGCCCGCCCCTGCCCACCCACCTCAGCTCTATGCCATCCTATGAGCCGAGGTGGCGCAGTGGTTAGGGTGCAGTACTGCAGGCCACTTCAGCTGACTGTTATCTGCAGTTTCAGCGGTTC